CAATCGCGAGAAGCAGACTTTAAAAGCGTGCAAAATAGCAAAAACTATCACCAAACGAACGATAATCTTTTAAAGAGAAATTAATCGGATTTTGATAGGTATTAATATGTGAATAAAATAAAATTTTTCATAAATTTGAAATAAGAATTTTCTTCACAATTTCTCTCTCGTGATTTTTTTTGTGTTTAAGAAATTACAGAATTTCTCTATAACTTTATTATTTTAAACAAAACTGCTACAAAAAATTACTTCATCTCACACATGAATATATATTCAGCCTTAGTCCAGAATTCTAAATAGCATGGCACTCCAGTGTATTATTTTGCCATCCTGTGGATTGCCGTAGGAAGGCTCGCCCAAAAGCCGAGTGCGTTTGCGAAGCGAGAGCAATGTAAAATTTATAGATCGTAGAGGCAGCGTAAGAGGCTTAACTTTTCGAGCGATAATACTTCACTAGTAATAGGTCGAGAGCCGGATTCACGTAATAATGCGATTACTGATATCGATTGCAACGAACAGGGAGAGAGCCGAATTTAAACTACAATTATCCCCCCGCCTTATGAAATACCGTAGAGTGCAGCGCATGTGATAACGATAGGCACGCTGCTGATACTCTTCCGCGGGCATACAATGCGGGGAAAAAAAAAAACTTTCTCTGCGTGAGCGTTCCGTTCCGCGGTCATAAAAGTGTTCGAGATTTTTCGTCGGGCGTCCATTAAGGTGTTTACAGAACGACGGGAGCTTTGTAACTTTCCGCAGGCAGGAAAAGCAGTTAATGAGGATGCAAATTTAATCCGTCCGGAAGAAATTTCATTTACCGCCAGTCTCGACAAATAATTTGTCGTGGCTCGGTAAATCTTATAACTTTCAACGTCATCCGCGGCTATCAAAACCCTTTCGTTCCCTTTTGTATACGATAACTCGAAATATCATTGACAAAGTTCGATCAGTGACTATCATCGGTGTAATAGTAATATCATATTCAATTGCATAAACTATAATTTATGATATTAATCAGTAAATGGATAAAAGCGTATTTATCAGTATTAAATAATTATTACAGTATTAAAATTATGACAGAAATAAAATGGTTTGTAAAGTGCCATATAACGTTTCATAGGGCGCATGCACGCATAAGACAGAGATTATAAAAAAAAAAACATGTAAAAAGAAATGCTATTTAATATCTTTTAATTCTAATAAAAAATGATTGGTCTTCCGGATATCTGTAAAATGAATAGTCTTTATAAGGATTTCCCGTGAACAGCGGTACCATCATGACGATACGCATGTTTGTTCAGATGGTCTCGTCGTTATCGTCGCCGTTGTATTCAAATCTGGGAGATTTATTCGTGGCCTTGCCAGGTAAAAAGGTCGATCGTCGCGTGTGCCACTCTTGCGAGGTATTTAATTAATTCGCCGCCCATAAAACTCCCTCGCGGCTACCCTGCTCGTTTCCCCGGCCGCGAAAACTCGTAAAAATCTCGTCACGTGTCTCTTTGTCAAAAGTTTTTAATTCACACGCCGCGCCAATATCGAATGGTGTCGCGGCGCGAGAGATATGCGACCTTACTAACGAAGCCGGACGTTTAGAGCGTTTCGCGCCATAATTTCCTTGATTAAGCCGAGATATGTGGCGGATTGCCAAGAAGGGCGCGGCGTTACATACCTCCGAGTTTCCCCGTCCGTTTCCCCCGGGGGGTGGTCGGCGTGTGTCCGTTCGCTCGTAAATAACATCGCGAATTAAGCGTGTAATTTCCGCGCGAATTACGCGCCCGGTCCCGCGATCTCCCTCGTCGGCTTTACCCGCGATATTTTTATTATTGTAAAAACGCGCGCTGCAAAAAATTTACGATTGCCCGACGCGTCGCGACAAATCGCGCCGGACACCGAGAACGGGATGACAAATGCTTAATACGCCGAAATCTCCGTTGGGAAAATCAACACATCCATATACAATATGGTTGAAATTAGTCATTTTATAAAACGCGTGTTCCAGATACAAATTGAACGAATGAATGAATGTTGTAGAGCGGAAACAGAGATACAAACGCGAATGTAATTGGACGAGAAATAATAAATATACATTAATAAAATATATGATAAATTAAAATATAAAAAGATAATAGAGATAAAATTGACATATATTGCTTTTTTGGAATATAAATTTACTGTCTTTTTCTTTATAAATCCCCAATATGCAATTTCTATGTACAGTAAGAAGAAATATGCAGTACGAACGACAGGATTTGTTGCATGGTCGTATTTTTTTTTACGGCGCGCAGTTTAATATTCCATGCACTGGCATTTTATATGCCTCGCTCTTAAGATATTAAATGTCAATGACAACGGTGGATATGGGAATTTTGGCGATATTTCATTGGAGGTTTTGAATACATGTATGAGGAAACCCAGTACGCATCTGTTCCTCCTGATTGATGAAATAGATTGTGCTTTTGTGACACGCACCTGCGTCTACCGCATTCGTTCACATTCTATTTTGGATTCTCCTAAGGCATATATTGCGAAGTAAAAGATACATTACTTTCGGAATAGTCCGCTTGCTTTGTAATCTTACTCTGCCATCAACTTGCGATAAAATACTGTAGTATTTTTACCTTATCTTGGCGCAGTGATGTAAAATAGGATTTTAACAGAAACTCCTGCTTTTATTTTTTAATTTATGTAGCCATAAATGACTCATTTTATTACAAATTAATTATTGTAAAAAAATTTCAGTAAATTCATTTTCAGTTTATTTAATTAGTTAAATAATTAAAGTAGCTTTTATGTGTAAAATTTTTAGTATTGGAAACATATGCCATCATTAAAATTATGTATTCTTTTTCCTATGCAAATATATCGCCATAAATTTTACGACTTTATATATTGTATATATATTTTTTAATGTGATGATACAAATATTTTATAACATGTAAATTATCAAACTTTTAATTGTTTTTTACGGGTATACTAGTTTCTCTTTGCGATAAATTTTTATTATTGCGTGTAATGTTGAGAACATGCATTTCGTTGGAAGCTTCTGAGGCCGCTAATGCGGCAGATTCTGCTTAACTGCGTCTGCGTTAATTACAGAAATATCTCGCCGGAGTCAGTCATGTTTTATTATGTTTATTTCTATTATACATTACGTCTAAAGAGCGCGGCAACATTTGATATTATTCTTGCCAGCAGTTATTCCACAAGATTTAAAGCAAACGAGAACGCGTCTGCGACGAAAAAACGGAAGACGATGCTATTATCTATTTGGTACATGGCCAACATCGTTACGCAGCTGTAAAAAAAGAGGCGGAAGAAATCTGTATTGTTCTTATCGTCGAAAAAATGCGATGTGCTCTCGGAAAGTGGCCGAAAGTTCAGACATAATTTGTTCGCCAAAGTTTCGCTCCATAAACTCGCTACTCTTCTCCTTGTCTCTTAAAAAATAGGACTGTAAATAATTAAAGCAAACATAAAAACTCGGAGAGTTTCGCGAGGCTGCACTTGCCTGATGCAAAAAAAAAAAAAGAAAGAAATGCATAAAGTTCCGAAGAGCAACGCAACACGACGAACGGGCAGTCGTTGCG